CCATAATACTTAGTTTCTAGAAAGCTGTTTAAGTTATACATATTCTTTTTATATCCCAATATTTTCTAAATATAATCATTGACATTTAATAGCCATAGATACTTACATGGAGCAAAGGGAATATTTTTTTTTCTAGGTGTAAGAGGTAGTAGATTGAGTTTGAAGGAATTTTCAGGGGTTTCAAAGGTTCTTGACTGGATGATGACCGTTCACATATCATATTCTGCTCAGAATATGGCAAGACACAATACTACATCCGGTTACTCCTCCTGTATATGTTTAAAGATAATTCACTTTGCTCGTTCCTTTCAATAATGTTAAGGGTTTTCTCCCTAAAATAAAATGATTATCTAATATTCGATCTAGGGAGGGGGAGGAAATTAGAAATGTCTACGATGAGGCCTAGAAATAGGCTTAAGTAAAAATTTGCGAGGTGCCAGACCCTCAGGCGGTGCATTGAATTCCATTATACTAGGTGTACGAGGTCTATGAAACCATTAGGTGACCACGTGCAGGATAATACGGCCATTACCAATAATCCATATTCGGCTAGAGAAGCAGGTATGCTCCTGTCACATCATTTAGGCCAGGTCTGGCCCCAGTTGGGTTGAGCAGGCGGGTTGTTATTTCTAGGTGGTTGATCTCCCAAGAAAAGGTATATTGCGTTACCGTAGTTGACTATCGCCCGCACCTTCAAATCAATCTTTTTTTCGCATAGATAATATGCATCCTTTTATAAATAAATTAGTATAGAATAATTAGAAGTAGTTAGCAATAGCAAGAACCAAAAGGTGATTAGGAGAGGCAAAATAATACTCGCACTTATTCGCGGCACTTGACTAAATATCCTCGCACAGCATTTAAAAAAAGGTAACGATACATTTGCTGGACAGAAAATTGGTTTGACCATGATTTATCTCAGTAGGTTGTGCAAATTATCCGGGGTTGTATTTCTTATGCTATATCGAAACATTGTATAGCAAAAAAAATGTAAATATCAAAATGCTAATCCTGAGAGGTGTAGGTGTGAGCACTGCTTCTCTATCCACGAGTGCGAGATTGGAAGACTTGTGACACAAGTTGTTGCAACTTTCCGGATGCGAATGCGACTATGGACTAGTTTTGCAGACCATTTCGCCGAGCCTGTGACATTCGGTGGCCATGTTCACGGAGCATTACTGGACAATTTCCAATTATATACCAGCCTTCAAGGCCGCAGATGTGCTCAATTTTCGTCAATAGTAAATGAATATCATTACAGTGAGCATTTTGCTTGAAAAACTACACTCAGAACGTATGGCGCTAAGAAATTTGCAGGCAATAAAAAAGTTCATTGTGCCCTGATAAGGCAGTAAATTGCTTGAGATATAAATTTTGTGTAGATAAAGGGGTGTAATAGCCCATATAGAAATCTGGTGGAAAAGTAGAAAATTTTAAAGTGTAGTATTTCCAGACAATAATCCTTGGGTAGTTCTACCTCCCATTGTACTACTAAATACAGAAGGCTGGCAATATATCTGCTAAGTTCATATTTCTAAATGTATTACAACTACTCTTGGATATGCGAATTGAAACCAGAAACGTACAATTTCCTAATTCAATTGCAAAAAGATGTATACCGAAAACCTTATTGATGTGTTTGATATTAGTAATTCAGCTGCCAGAGATAATATCAGGTACATGCTTTTAAGGTACAAACTATACTGGAAAGGAATATGAGCAACATCTTGCGAGAGAGAACGAAAAAGAGAACAGCTACTAATCAAGGCTTTCAAGACCTATTTGATGAAGAAAAGAGAGAATATGAAGCTAACAACACCATAGATTCAAAATTAGAAATAATTAAGACAAAGTCACACCCCTCAGTATTAATTACTCCCTTGAATAACATTGATGATGCAAGTCTCAATAATACATATGTAACAGGAATGATAGAGGATATTGTAATGAATGGAAATAACTATACACAAATGATGTTTCTAGTGTTAAATATTATTTTTTGAATCACCTTGGTATTGGATGTTTTATTACCAAGAATTTCTCTCCTTTATGTCTTATTCTTTTATAAATTGATATATTCCATTTGCTTTTCTTACCTTCAAGGTAAAAACACCAGCATGTTTAAGATCACTTAGATTTATCATTGACAGAAAATGCTTATTTCCTAAATTTTTATTTTTCTTTACATCCATTCTGCAGAAGCTTATAATTGACGGAAGTCTCTCCTCTGTTGTTGCTTTATTATGATTAATATTTCATCTCAGCTCTAAAATTAAAGGCTATTCGATATTGTTAAAGTATGATAAGAAAAAATTGTCTAGGAAAGAATTCAAGACAAGAATTCGATTATTCCGATTATTGCAAGTCTTCAGTTGAATCCTTCTTGACAAGAAAATATGGAAAAAGATTCTAGGTTCGTAATATTTCTAGATATTCTCTAATAATTCATCCTTTGAGTTCTTCGCTCTTTGTTGAAAGTTATTAGATAAGTACGCTGATGTAAAATTAAATAATTTAACTATCTCTCCCCACCCCTCGCACAAGTGTTGGGAATTTTTGGATTATTATTGTTTGTTTTGGGACTGATTTACAGGTAAAGGATTTGCTTATTATTATTTCATTCCTAGTCTAATTATAGATACT